CAGAGCAGATAATAAAGATTATACTATAATAAAATGAACCTAGTTAAGTTATCATGTATGTAATACCATTTATTTGTCCATGTAAATAACGTATAACGGAATCAAGGCTTTAACCTTTGTAATCTTTTTCAACTTAATAAAATAATCGCAAGACAGAAAATTCAATCATGGATAAAGCATTTAGATATAAATTTCCGCTTAAGTATACGATTTAGATTTCTGAATAAATTCATAACTTATAGAAATATATTATGGTTATTATTATTTTTATTGGTACAATCTTTCATTTTATCATTTTAATAGTTGACATTGGCTTTGTCGCTCTTATAATCCAACAACGATGTCACTTTAAGGATAGGGTAACTTCAAAGATCAAGTTTTTAAATATAGTTGACATAATAATGCGATGCTCCGAAGAAGATACTAGTTATTTTACGCTATCAGAGTAATGTCAATTAAATAAAAATGAATAATTATGAAAATGTAAGAACGTGAAAAGATAATAGAATTTGTATGCACACAAATTACATTACATCAACTAATGCATTCCATTTTTTTTAATCACTCATAGATGATCGGTTTTTTCTATAGTGAAATATACAATAATAATTCAAAATTGAGTAATTTATTGGTTATTTTCATTATTTTTATCAAATAAATAGTTACTAAGGCTCATAACTTCTAGCAAAAAAGCAAAAGCAAGTGAATTTGACCAGAAAGTTAATAAATCGGGATTTATATATAAGAAAAATTTGAAATGTATAAAAAAAAAACAGAGGTATGTGCCTCCCCCCCATTTACTGAGTCATATAAATATTTTATCAAGCAATGTAATAATGTATATCATTAGAAAAAGTTATTTTTTGGTTATCAATAATAACATGGGTTTATGAATTGTTAGTCGATATAGTTGTCTTGTAGAGCAAAATTTGACGCCCGACAGTGGTCCCGTTAATGTTATGACCTATTTTTGAAGTGTTTATTATGTAGATATGCACACAGTATAAAAAAAAAATACTTTTTTTAATAAAAATGGATTCAAAACAAATAACAGATTATTTTTCAAAAAAATCTAAAATATGTGATAACAAAATTTATAAGCAAAAAAAAAAAAATCGTATGATGGTACCTTATTCATGAACATTTTTTGTGCCTCACCATTATACATTTCTAATTACATTAGTATTTAATTATGAATAATCTGAATTGTCGAGGAGCCCTCGGAAGTAGGCCGAAGTAGGCTTTGTTCGCAATGATTTTATTTTATTTTTTATTTGACTAGTGCTTTATAATATTGTGTAATAATTCATTGTGTCATTATTGAACTTGACCGTATGTTTGTGTTCTCCTGTTATCCTTGCTCAATAGGATTTCAGTAAAGTGTTTTCTTTCTAGTTTTAAATTAATGTGTTCATTATATTGTTATTTCACGAGATGAATTTATTTAACTTTATTATAGTTATTATTTAACGTTAATTTTAAAATTAAAATTAAATAAAAAAGAAGAAGAATTTTTACTACAAAACTAATTATTTTATACATAATTTTTCGCGTTTTATAAATAAAAAAACTCAGCACAGTGGGGTCTCGGCACAGTAGGGACGTGGAATAGTTAGGTCCAGCATAGATTTATGATTTATATAAGAATATGCTACAAAAAATATTGGAATGTTATAGACTGGTAATAGCACACACAAATAGAGTTAAAAAAATTAATAAATTACAAAGTAAAATGATTTACTTTTGTAGTTGAATATTTTTATCATATTAAATCTAATTTGACAAAAATACTTTAAAAATATTAGAAATGAAGGATTTTAATCGTTTGTATGGGTAAATCTGGTTAAGCTACTTTTTATTTAATTAAGGGATTTATTTTCAATTTTTGAGGGTAATATCTTCAATTGAATACGCATTGTAATCATTTGACATATCGTTGAATAAAGTAGGTTAAGTGAGGGTTGGAAAAATAAATCGCAGCCACAAAAAAATACACATAGTAAAATAATATTAACATGAATAAGAAAAATCTTCTTATGAGGGGAGACTACAGTGATGGGATCCTTGATATTTATTGAAGTTATTGAATCTAAATGAGATAAAAATCAAATGATTTAAAAACTTTTTTCTAACTCAAAAAAAAAAATTGCAAAACATTAATTGCCACTGGCGAATTTGAACCTCATACTCTAAGCGCGAATGACACAAGTGTTACCCATTCGGCAATTTGCCTTCACATTCATCGAATGATATAATTGGGAATTTAAGCTGATTCAAATTTTAAAATTACTTTTTCGACTTAAAAAAAACAAAAAAAATCTCATATCTTAGAAACTTTATTCTATGTCAATTAAATTATATAATATTCATGAAAGTCAGTATATTTCCCGTGTAACATATTTTAAAATAGAAGAAAAATAATAAAATACAAAAATAGCATATTTTTTAATATGCTATTTTCACCAAGAAGAAAATCTATATTACGAATTTTTTTTTCATAGTTAAGTATATAATATAAGCTTTAATCTAAGATTAAATAAAAGTGTTAATATTTCCGGAACATTTTCAAAAATCACTCTGAAAAAGCTTAACTTGTATGCAAAAATTGTTTTTTTTTTTAAATTTCTCCTGCGGGCTGGTTTAGATTTTCAAACAAATTATATAAAATGAAAGAGAAATATCTATGGTTTTAATATAAAAAAAATTATTTTAATTTGTTCATTTTTAAAAAAGTTATAGCAGTTTTAAGTATTAAAATATTTCATGTTAAACAGTGATTTTTACATAAAAAGTACATTTTTCGTTAAATTCGACGACAATTTTCTTATAGAAGAAATGGTGCCGGAACAAATGTTTTTTTGAACTTATAGTATTTATTACAAACTTTAATTTGACATATGTTTAAAGGACATAGTGTTTTCGAAATGTTTTCAAGAGTTCTACTTTTTATATGTATGTTTCAAGTTTTGAACGCCCTCTGTATAAAGGGAAATTGTCCAATTTAAATTAAAAGGATGTTCATTGAAAGAAGTATATATAGTGAATTTATAAAAAAAAATTTGTGTTGATACATACATTTTTCTAAATGTTATAGCAATTTATACTTGAAAATATAAAATCAAAAATTTTAACACAAAAAAACCCATTACAGGGGGGTCGTGGCACAGTGGTGACGTGGGATAGTTGAATCAAGTATAACGATATCTGACAGTGATTTAAATCACTATAAAAAACCCAGCACAGGGGGGTCGCGGCACAGTGGTTACGTGGCATAGTTGGATCAAGTATAATGATATCTGACAGTGATTAAAATCACTATAAAAAAAAAACGCTTCGATGCAAATCTTTAGATAGTGTTTAATTTTAAAAAATTGGTGGATTATTCCAAAAGCTTCATAAACTGCTAGTTCCTTATTAATATCCTGATTAAGACAAAGTATGTAGAATAAAAAAGAGATTATTAGAAAATAGTATTTCCCATAAAAAAATTATATTGATCAATACACTTTTCAATAAGTTATAGCATTATAATGTTAAAAATGTAAAAAATAAAATTGAGAATTTTCACACAATAATAGCATT